AGAAGGAACGTTGCGAACGACGACGACGACGACGACGACGATGACGATGATCTGGTCACGCGCGAGATCCTCCAATTCTTTTTCTTCTTTCTTTTCCTTCCTCTCTTCCGATGGAAGAGATCTTTCGCGGATCTTGGTATTTTCACAGATCGTGACTCGACGCTCGTTATCGGGATTATTGGCTGTGCTCCGACCGTGCACCGCTTATCCTCGCGCGTGACATCTGAGGGGGCCGAATTTTCCCTCCCTCTGCCTCCTCGTGATCCTCCGTTTCCTTTCCTAGGTGTGCCTCGCTGATATTTCCAGTAATATTTTCGGTGGTATCTTCGTATGTATACGTGTGCTATTTGTGTGTGTATATCGCTTTTGTGTGTCTGTGTGTATATCAATGTGTATACTCGCTTTTTCCTGAATTTCTTTTTCTTCTTCTTTTTCTTTTTCTTCTTCTTCTTCTTCTTCTTCTTCTTCTTCTTCTCGCCTCTTGTTTTTAGAGCTCTTCTTTTATTTTGCTCGCTCGCGCTCACTCTCGTCGTTATTTCTCACTTTCTCTCTCGTTCTCTCGTTCCCTTACGCTCGCTCTTCCTTTCTCTCTCTCTCTTTCTCTCTCGCTCTCTCTCTCTCGCTCTCTCTACCTCTCTCTATAACTCTATTTCTGTCGTTTGTACTCAACAGGTTTAGGCTACGAACTGAAGTAGATCGGTTTCTCTGGGAGTAATTATATGCGAGTCCCCTTTTCCGGATATATAGGGCGGCCTGCGTTCTCTCCGTCTGTCTTTCGCTTTGGATGGGACTCCTCTCTTCTTTCCTTAATTAGATACTCATACGCGCTCTCTCACAAGTGCGTTTTTTTTTCTTCTTCTTCTTCTTTTTCCTCTTTTTCTCCTTTTATTTTTTCTTTTTTTTTTCCCCCTCTTTTTTGAAATCAAAAAAAGAACGTCAACCCCCTTTTAATTTGTTTATCACGTAATAAACTTCTTCTTATTGTAAGCTTAGAAAATTTTGTCGATTTGTTTTTTTTTCGCGTTTTTATTATTTATTTATTTTTTTTTTTTATTATTTACTTCTTATGCTTTTGTGTTCTGCTTTTTTTGTTCCTTTTATATTTTTCCTAATTAACCTTCTCGCGAAGAAGAGATCGCCGCTCGTTTAGCTCGGTTAGTGAGTAATATCGTTAGCTGAGTGATTAGTAGAAAAAAAAAAAAAATGGTAGATTCTTTGGTTTACGGTTTTTAACTTCTTCTTTCTTCTTTTTTCTCGCCCCCTTTGTTTTTTTTTTTTTTTTTTTTTTTTTTTTTTCCCCCCCTTTTTTTTTTTTTTTTTTTTTTTTTTTTTTACCTGCCCTGAAATGTACAACAATCGTGTTAAATTTTTCTCTCTGTTTACTCTGTATCCTCTTTTTCTATTTTTCTCTCTTTCGATTTGGCACTGACGGACTTTTTTAATTTTTTTTTTTTCTTTATTTTGTTTCAGATATACTTTGTACACTAATTAGATACTATAGCTCTTAATGTTTTGTTTTCCTCTGAACTTAAGCTCTTGAAATAATTTTTCTTCTTTTTTTTCTCGTTTCTTTCTCTCTCTCTCTCTCTCTCTCTTTCTTTCTCTCTCTTTCTCTCTCTCTCTCTCTTTCTCTCTTTGTTTTACATCGATATAAACACACTAATTACTTCTTTCGCGCTTCGTAAGAAAATAGAAATCACTTGAGGTTAATGTGGCTTGTTAGAAGGCGGTTGATTTGTACGATCTGAAACATAAAGATGCAATATAATAATTATTTCTTAATTATTTCTCAGCCGTGTAATTAAAATTACCGATCTTAATTTATATATTCCATACATAAAATTCGTACACACATTCGCTTATCACATTTCGTCGTTCATTTTAATATTTCGAAACAACATTTAGAATTTTTCACGATATAAATAAAAAAAAAATCCACTGAAAGAATCTTTCTACGAATAATTAAACATTTCGAAAAATATAATATATTTCAGTATATCTTGAATCTTGAGAGAAGAGTCGTAGAATCTTTGAATCATGAAGATTTCCTCTGATCTTCGATCGAACAATTCGATGTAAAGAAAATGAAAACGAGACATTGTACGAAGTTATGTATTTATATTTTTCCAAGAAAATTCTGTAAAGAATTCTTCAAAGAAAGAAAAATTCACGAGTCATTTTTCAAGTGTAAATACATTTGAGAGTTTTGTTTTCATGTATTTTAACAAGATATCAGTTAAGATTACAATTATGCAATTGCTATTCTATTTTCGAAAATTTTCAATATAACATTATATATAATTCATATTTCGAATTTGTCTTATCAATGTATAATTAGTAACATATGTTATTTACATATATAATTTTATTATTTCAATTAGGCATTAATTTAACATTAAAAATAAATATAAACGTTTCCAAAGTTAGAATAAAACAACGCAGTTTTAAATACATAATATATAGATACAAATATTTCGATTTGTACAAAATTATATTTACATCTCGATTTTACAGAGATTTTTCACAACGAAATATACAAACACGTTACGCAATCTTATTGAGATTACAAAAATTCATATATTACGATTATTTTCGGCCATGAGAGAACAGGAAGCGATAAAGAAGAAACAGAAAAAAAGAAGAATTAATAGACGGTCGAAATCATCGTGAAAACACAGTGGCGGAGCCACTTAGGAAAAAACTGAGCGTTTCGAGATAAAAAAGCCCCGATGACGAGGCTCATTGAGCCCTCCCCTTTCTCCGTGGTCACGTGAGGCGATCGTAAGCGAGAACGTGACACGCGACTACGTGGGAACGTGTCATAGACGTTACTATAACGTGACCATCGCTAAGCCAAGGTTACTATTACGTTCGGCGTGTCTGCACACCTACTCGCTCGCTTTGATACCCGCGAATGTTGTGCCCTAGTCCCCGGACGGTTCATTCAGCGTTGCTTAGACCGACTGACGATGGCTATGAACTTTTCGCGTTCTGCGATTCTTTGTTTCTCGATGACACAATGTATCGCTGCGGATTGAGCGAAGATCGCGCGAGAGCTAACAGTAATGGCTTCTGCAAGTGGATCTTTCATTTTTGCCACATTTTGATAGATATTCGATATTATAGTGGAAATTATCGCATCTTCAATAGTGTTTCTCTAGAAATATTAAAAATACTTGTGCAATGCTATAAGTCGTAATCATAATTGTACATGGTTAAGTTATAAACGAAATGCACGTGGAGTTAGAAGAAAATTTCGTGAATAGGTAGACTCGAAATAAAATTCGATTTTATTATTAATAAAATAAATTGATTATTCTATAATATAATATCTATAATATTGCTTGAAACATGCGAAATAATGTTGCCAAAGATACTAATACTAATATTCAAATGTATCTGTTTAATTTATTTAATTTATTTTATATACACTTTACGGCTATGATTACTGTACACATAGTAGTTATCAATATGTTAAATTTTATTGAAATCGAGAAATAATACTTCTAAGAAAAAAATCCTTGTAATATTTAAAACTTTCATATCATTAAATACCATCCTCTAAACGCAATTTATCCCAATTCGCCGCTAATATTAGCAATTAACATTTAATAATTTAATTACACGTAAATAAATTAAAAAAAAATTGGCGTAGATCGATAAATTGAATCTTTCAACTCTCAATCCTTTCTTTATTTATTACCTCCTTCCTCCTCCATTTTATAAAGAAACAATAATTTAATTCGATCCAATAATTCAATTATCCATACAGGCGCGTTAAATAAAGGATTCCCTTTAAAATTCCTCGTTGAATCCAACGAAGCGAGATGCTCGCAAGAGGTTCCAAGCCATCGTCGAAAACCGATGCGATGTTGGTCCTCTGTGAGATATCGACCGTCGCTTAACCCCCTCTCTCTCCCGTCAACGCTCTCTTTCTCCCTCTCCTTCTGTCCACGGTGCACATAGTACGCTACACGTCCACGCGATGAGCAAACGCGTCTATCCTCCGTGTGTGCACGTGTGCGCGCGTGGCATTCGCGCGCACACTAGCTTTTGCACGGCTGGTGGATACACATAATGGCCGGTACATAGAGAGAGCGATAGCTATGTCGCTATCTCACGGCTACGTTTTCCACCGCACTCACTCTCCACCGCCTCTCTCCACGCAAAACTCTCTCTAATAGCTTTACAGCTGTGGCCGACGGAGCTTTCGCTATCGTTGGAAACTTGCACTGTCGTTCGACTCGCACTTTCGTTTGCCGCGAATTAAACCGCGATGTCACGCTATCTTCGAACTTGCGCGCCAATGATCCAATGTTCTTTTTACCCGGGAATTTTAGAGCGAATTAATAAAGATTAATTTATTCGGGAATCGATCGAGAATATTTTTTTAACGATAGAAAGAATGTTTTGGAGAATTTTTGGAGAATTTATTCTGCGTGGTATAGTCTTTTCTGGATAGTCCTTTCGTCTTTAAACGAATATATTAATTAATTTGAGAATATTTTTTCAGGGGAATAGGTGAGAATAGGAAAGAAGTTTTTTTTTTCTCTCTGATTAAGAGATTGGTCCAAGCAAAATAGTTTTTTCTGGTTTTAAATTTAAAGGGATAAAAGGTATGGGGAGCATTACCATTTTGTTAACCCTTATATCGATACCTGGGTAGCCAGGTATCCTTTTACTTAAGTTAGCATATTTTTCGCACCTGTCGTGGGAAACTTGAGCTATTTAAGGATTATTCTTTTTTTTTTTTTAGGTTCCAGGATCTCAAAAAATATGAAAAAATTCTAGGATACTTATTAAAATCTCGTTATATAATTTCGTTATTAGTAAAAATAAAAATCGTACGAATTTAATGAAATTTCATTCCAGATATTATCTAGATTAGAATTAAAAATTCTCAAATCCAACTAGATCGCCATTACACAAATCTATTATTAATTTGAATTGCAAGTTTACAATTTAAAAATTAGAGAATTATTGTTAAACAATAAAAATTATTTTTAAAATTTTTCTTAGAAACAATATGTATATAATACATATAATAATATTTTTATTTTTGCAATCCGTAAAAAAAAATTTGTTCATAAAATTTTCCTAAACCAACATACAGAATATCTTGAAAATTTTGAAGAACCATAACCATATATACAAATACTCCAAAAATTTTAGGGTACACTAGAATTCGAGATACACTAACATTCTATGCATACCGTGCGGCTTGCTACGTCAACACGTGACGAGGGACAAAGACAAATTCGACCAGTTGGGTCGAATTAACGAAGAATCGAACAGTTCCACGAATTTTCCTGAACGAGCCGCTGTGCATCAGAAATAACGACATTTGAACGAACAGGCCGTTGCCAGGAATTCTTCTCGAGAGCCATGAAAGCTCGATCCACTGGGTGTCATCTATTAACACGTCTACCTTCACCTTAACCAGATATGTTTAGAAATCTTATAATGAAAATTATTAAACAAAAATATTTTAATCTTTTGTATAAATTGTATTTTAGTTCTATTTTGTTTTAAAAATATATATTGAAAATTATTAGTCGAAAGTATTTTTGATCTTAGATCTATTTTGATCTATTATTTTTGAAATCTATGTCAGGTACTTAGATTTAGATTATCCTATAAGTAATATTACAACTAATCTAAATGATTTAATGACAAATAATTCATTATAAACATTTTTTTAAAACGAAATTAAAACAGAATAACTACAGGTTATAGTTTGTAGTGAAAAATTAAATAGATAATATGTAGATTTAATATATAGACGATTATTGTTAGAAAATTGCAAATAAATTTTTTTCCATTATGACAATACTTAACAAAGCAAAAACAATGATAGGAAAAATTTAACCGACATTAAGTATTAAATCTATCATATTTTTTAAAGCAACCATGGAATTACCGCTTATTTTTATTACAAGTAATTTTTTTAAATTCTACAACTTTTCTAAATAACATTTTCATCCATTATTTGAAATAATAAAGATATTTAAAGAACTGTACAGAGTATGCATATTCATAAATAGAGAATTTAAAAGCCAATCAGTATAAGTCACATTCTTTGAACTTGCATAATTGCATAATTCAAGAGTATCTTTATTATTTAAACATTCAATGAATAAATCAAACAAGCCACTACTAAATTACTGAAGTAGTTGCTTAATTAACTGATCAATTGAAAGTTTAACTTTAAGTAAACAGATTCTCGAACTATTGTAAATAATTTTCAAACGAGAAAGATAATTCTCAAATATCTAAGAAAAATAATGCACATACGATAACTACGAAAAAAAATATTACATTTTCATCAGTTAATAATATATTTTATAATAGCA